AGTGTCCTTTTTCCCTTCATCTGACATATGCTTCATTAGTAAAATGCATATAGTTTCTTTTTACAGAGAAGATGAGAGAGAGTCTTGAGAAAGATTCCCCCATGATGTAAGCAGGGAGGGGGAATAGCAGTTACTGGAGGAGGGACAAAACTCCTCCTGGATCCTTCTCTCTTATTTCTTTGTGGAACAAAACCCCTAATCTGTGGGTGAGGGAATACAGGGCAATACAGGGCAACAAACCGTCATTTTAGAACACAGGTGAAAATCCATTGCAGCTGAGAGAAGGTAACATAGAATTCCTCTGTCCATGGGGAAGGGGTAGGAATACCTGCTAGGAGGCCAGGAACTAGAGCAAGAGGGGGGTCAGGAGCACTTGTGCAGGCCACATCCCTGACCAGCGCCTACCACATATGGAGGCTTAATTCTAACATCAAAGAACAATACCAATTATACTACTGGGATAGCTAATGAGGTTGACACTCCTTGAAGAACAGCAGAGCGGAAAGGGAAAATCTAAAACTGAAGGTACAGCAGTATTTTATAGATCCTCTGGCAAACCCCCAATACAGGGTACAAAGAATCAATAGAAAAAATGGAAACTTCTGGTTAACTGAGTGTAACTATAATAATAAAACAAATATCACAGCCTGCTCAACCAGATTAACACAATCCCCTGCTCCACCCCCACATGAAGGCCCAACAAAAGGGAAGTTGTGCCCATATCCACACAATAAAACAAGTAATTGCCTTTTTCCAGCTTCAGTGTTTACTGGACCTGAGATAATTTAAAATCATAGCTTGAATTCAGTGTAATCTGTCTTTATACAATGATGGATTTATATTTAATATTTTTTAAATATGTTGCATGTTCCAAAAATGTGGGGGCATATAAAAAGTCAAGAAATAACTGATCACCAGACTTAGATATGTTACCAGTGCTGAAACCATCTTAAATGGAATTTAAACATCTAGATTGACAATTTTCACCCAGTGTGCTGTAAGAATTTTAAAACACACAATACCTGACTATTTAGTCAGGGGCACTGACCTCTTTTCTCTTAGAATGTCAAATACAAATATGACAACAGACAATACAACAATAGCCATCTGGATGAATCTAAATTATGGCTATTTTTTTTTTTTTGGGTCAGATAAACAAAAACTATAATATGTTTTTGGTGTGCTGCAGAATTTTAGCAATTATATGTGCTATGAGATGATAAAGGTTGAAAATTGCTGATCTAGATTAATATGTTAAAGACTTTAAGGGAAAAAGTGGTCAATATATGAGATCATATATGTAATTTCAGCAACAAGACAGAAATAAACAAATGGAAATGTTAAAAATCAACACTGTGACAGAGATGAAAATTGCCTATGACAGGCTCATCTATATAATCATCAGTATACTTTCCTGAGACAAAAAAATAAAAATGAAAGTGAACTTGAAAATAGGTGAATAGAAATTACCAAAACTTAAATGAACAAAAAATAAAGAGTGGGGGGAAAATAAAACAGAGAATAGACAATGGTTCAGAAGAAGTATTTGAAGTATTAATTGCCTAGAATTTTCTAAAATTAATGACACACTTAAAAGTATAACCCCATAAAGCACAGAAAACACCAAGCAGTATATATAAATTAAAAAAATTAATTTGCATATATTCAAACTGCTGAAAACAGAGGACAAAGAGAAACTCCTAGAAGTATCTAGAAGAAAAAAGACATTATTTACATTTCTCTTCAGAGTAACTGAGCTCTCTTGTGCCCTCACCCCCATTGGTCTATTCAGAGTATATTCAGAATACATTTCACTTACTAAAGAAAAACAAGTATCACATGATCTCACTTATTTGTGGAATCTAATGAACAAAAGAAAACATGATGAGCAGTATAGATCCAGAGACAAGGCAGTAGAGAACAGACTGCCAACCTCAGAGGGAAGGGAAGCCAAAGGTGGGGCCGGAAGAGATAACCCAAAGAACTTTTTTGCATTTATGCTTAACCAAAGACAGACAATAGTGTGGTGAAGGCAGGGTGGGTGACCAGAGCAGAGAGGAGGAGGTCAGTAGTGGTAAAAAAAAAAAAAAAAAAAAAAAAAAAAAAACACCTGTAATACTTTCAACAATAAAGATAAGTAAAACACACAAACAAATGAAAAAATAAGTACATTGAAAAGGTTTCTACTGCAAGCAAAGCTTGGAAGATTTGTGAAAAGTGAAACTTGAGCTGATATAAAATGTACAGTAGAGTTAAATGGAGATGGGAAAGAGTAAGAATCTAACAGAGCGAGAAGAGCAAATAGATTATTCAAAAGGACAATAAATGAGTTTTTTCTCTGGAACAGAACATAGTTGGACAAGATTGAAAATTTGACAGGTGATCAAACTGTTGTGTTCTTGACTTTGTTAAGTGGACAGCAGAGTTTAATAGTAATTTTAAAATGATAATATTACTTCCTCACTGACAACTTTATAACTCTTATTTATTTATCTGTATTAACTTCATTGTGTGGTATCTTCAAAGATAAGCCAAATGATTATAATTATAGTGGTTGTGTTTATCCTATATCTGACTTTGAAGGGAATACTCTTAAAGTTCACCTATTAAGTATGATGCTGGCAATTGGTTTTAGAAAAGCATATCTTATAATATAGATGCATATGTTTGCTTTTTCATAAAGATGGAATATATTTTTTAAGTCCAGAATGCTTGGGTTCTTGATCCAGAATATAACAATTTCCAATACTTCCTTTTTATATTAGTATGTTTGGAAAGTTGAATAAGTGATCAGAAGACTATTAGGTAAATAAGATGACAGAGTAAAGCAGGTGAATCCTGCTGAGGTTTGTCTCATCTGGACTATGCCAGGAATGAACCATGCACTTGCCCTGCTATAAAACAGATGTTTCTAATGATGCTAATAATTTGGGCTTTTCAGATGCACTTCTTATTTATAGTGAGGCAATTATTTTCACTCTGTATAAGCAAAACCCAAATAACAGTGGTTTAAATAAGACAGGAAGTTGTTTCTCTCCTAGGTAAAATCCAGATGTAGGGTCTCAGGGGTATCTCATGGCTCCAAGTTGTTTGGGATGCACACAATCTCAAGCTTTACATGCTGCCATCTCCAAAACAGTATCATTGTTCTTACATGTCAAAATGGAGTTTTAGCCATCACATCCACAATCCAAGCCACATCATAGAAGAAGGGATGAGAAAGTGGTGTGTCCTCTTTATTCCTTTAAGGGGCATGTGGACATCATTTTCATTTATGTTCTGGTGGCCAACACCTAGTAACATGATGCTTGTGCAACACATTCTGGAAATGTAGCCTTAATTGTAGATGTTCCTCTTCCCTGCTAAAATTATAGGGAGAGGGAAAATGGAGAATTAACTAAGAGATTTTGCCAACACATTGGCTTGTTCTATTGAATACACAGGCACACTTCAAGTTTCTTTTTCTTGCATCAGAAACTGCTATTAAGTGACTCATTACAGCTTTTACAGCTCTGACTCCTAGTATATCAATTTTCATACTTTCTGTGCAATACATTACAGTTTTGTTTTGTTTTGTTTTTTCCAAATGAGAAACAAGTGCCCTAATATCATTGGTGATATATTTTGCAATCAATGTAGGCTAAGGAACTCCTGGAAGGTTTCTGATGACAAATAGTTTTATCTATAACATTATAGGCTATCCCAAACTATTCTTTAAGTTCTGACCCTGACTTGCAAAATATCACTATTTTATTTGTTAGCAAATTTATTGATTTCCTCTACATTGACCTCCAAGCACCAGTTGGAAACCTCTGCATGGAGAAAACTCAGCCCTTTTAAGGGACTCCATTCTCCACTCCTTTACAATGAAATTGCAGTCAACAGGAATTTCTTTTTTATATTAGTTGAAATGTATACACCTGAAAATAAAACCTATTAGACTTTGTCTTTCCCCCTAGAATCTAGAGATGCATGATTCACTATGAGAGCGAGTAGTTTGCATATTCAATAAACATACTAAATAAATGTTTTTAAAGTCCTTTCTTTGGCTTTGGTGAGAGACAACTAATGGTTCTTTCTCTGTTTTTGAGCAGGGATCTGGTCCAAACATTCTCTAGAGGTATTCACAAGACTCAGCATATAAATATACTCATAGCTAAGATTTCTTGCAGTGATGTATAAAAGATATGTAGCTGAACCATAAGGAGAAAGACACAGGCAGAGTCTGGAGGAATACATGTATACATGTATAGGTTTCCACATGTCCTCTTCTTCCCATGAGAGCTCACACAGAGCACACTTCTCTCCCCTGTAATAAAAGTGTAGCAACATGTGTGTGATGCCCATTAGAGACACTGTGCCCAAGCTGCTTACTGGGGGCTGGTTTAGTAGGCATCTTCTGGTTTACTGGGGGTTTGGTCATGTATAAAATTTTCAGACTTCGTAAGTAAAGCAAATGTTAGCATAAAACATATTGATGGCACAGCCTAGGAAGAGTGAATCACCCTTGTCAATTAATGGTTGATTAGGAAGTTTGAAAGTCAAGTACACAAATTCAAGCAGTTGATTATTTATTTTTTATTTTAAGGATAGCAACAGCAGGCCTTTTCTGTAAATTCTGTTTTGCAAAGTAAATGCCTATATCTTTAAATCTAAATGAATAGGTGAAGATATATGTGCAGGAGTATGCTTAATGTAATAGGCGTAAAAATACAATGTTGATATAATAGCTATTTTTTAAAAGTGTTCAAAGTATTTACTTAACATTAAAATTTTTCATAGATTTAAAAATTTTCATGTAAACTGTCATGTTATTAATGTTATGTAACCAGTCAGTAATCCTGTTTTTATTGGCAGGGCACACTCTTCTGTACACTCTGCTCTTCCCAGTGAAAAGAACCAGTTTTGCCATATTGATATAAGCAAATGAAATACCATGACTTCTTCCTCCATTGGCCAATAAAAGGCCTACCACAGCTTCAATTCCCAGCTTTAGCACGATGGCGTCCCTTTTTCCTTTGGCCTGCTTACTAATTGGGTGCTTTTCTGTTTCTTTAGCAGAAGTATTGAATTTCTCAGATCTGTATCCTCCTCTATGGAAAGAGAGTCCTGGTCAGTTCAGTGACTATAAGATGAAGAATGGAAAGTACTTGATTAATCCCTGGGTATATCCTGAGAGAATGGGGATGTATAAAATTCTACTGATCCAGACAGCCCGTTATTTTGAAAAATTTGCACCAGAAAATGAACAAAATTCATTATGGGGATTGCCTCTGCAACATGGCTGGCAATATTCTACAGGTAAGAATGACTTTTGTTTTCAATCTACTGATCTACCAATATAACCACATCATAATCGGGAAATGAGACTATATATATCATACAATGTTTGTGAAATGAATTATTTTAATTTCCTCTTTCCCTAGATAACCATTATTTTTCTCCTTCTTCTCCATAAGTGTTTCTTCTAGTTGTTACCTCTTTTGACTAGAAACTGCAGTGAGCATACAGTACAATTGCCAAACACAAAACTTCATTTCTGACCTTCTGTAAGTATTTACTGAAATTGTACTTGATGCCAGACCCCATTCTAAAAACTGAGATGAACAGAACATTCAACAGGAGATACATTAGAAACAGAGGTGATATCAAATTAGTGTGAATTCCTTAGAGCTCTAATTATGGTTACCTTCGGGGGTGCTGGCAAGTTGTAGCACCTTGTTCATAAGAATGTTTCTCTGCGAATGACTTATTCCTTTAAAAAATAAAGGACATTCCAGTGTTTATTTAGAAGATATGTTTGTGCCAAAGATTTATAAATTAAAGGATATTTTTTGTGTTGGCCGACAGAAGAGCTCATGAAAAACACTGGTGTCTCTCACCCCTCTCCATACTGATAACAGTACCTGTAAGGATATTACTTCAGCTCTTACAGAAAAAAATACAGGGAGATCAATGTTTATCTGTGGTCTGAGCGGGGGTCACATGCAGGAGCTATTGAGGTTGGCAAGCCATCCATCTTTGTCAGGGTATATCTAAAGACTCAAACCTACTCCTATTTATTTTACTTTGCTTGGAGTTAAAAAGACCAGGGTCCAGGAGAAATAATAAACATATAGTTCACTATGAGGCATGTCAGCCTTGGGGGCCTGCAGGTCTGTGGTAGTTGGAGGCTGGATGGGCTGGTAGATTAATGTTTTCCTTACTCTTTTACTACATTTACACATTAGAATCAAGCCTGACTAAACTCACCTAGTTATGGGCTTCTGTGTGCCCAGCACTGTCTAAGAGCAGTGGGAGTGGATGTGTGGGGTTGGCAATAAATATTCCAGACAGTTTCCCTGCCATTGGAACAGAAAAAATAGCAAAAATCAAACAGAGAACAATAGAGAACAGTTCTTGGAAAAAGGTTATAAATGCAGAACAGGAAACAGAATGGAGTCAGCTGGAGTATTCTTGAAATGGACAGAATTTTGCTGGAGAAATAGAAGTAAAATCTTCTAGGAATAAAGAATGAGTGAAAACTGTGGTTCTCAGGTTTGGATGCACATGGAAAATAACTGCTTAATTAAAAAAAAAAAATAGTGGAGCACACTTTTTCATTGCAGAATGAAGACCACTGCCCTGGCTGAGCTGAAACCCCAAAGGTGTCTCCCCAGAGCAGAGTAGAGCTAAGGAGACAGACCATCACATAGTGGAGTGGGTCAGCTCAGCCCAAAGTAACCTGCATGTGCACAGCAGAACATCCAGGAGCAGAGCTGTCTGGCTGGAGAGGGGCAGGGCTCCAGGGCCACTTTGGCCCCAAAGCTGTTCTACAGTCATGCTTTTTTTCACAGCTACACAGTGGTACTATTGACCTGTTTGCAATAAATAGTTTCCTTCTTTGTGCTCCACACACACACACAAAACACCAAAAACCAAAAAACCATGCCCAGGTCTACCACTAGAAATTCCATTCTGCTTTAATAATATGAGAAATCAAACAAAAGGACAGAGCCTGGAAACAGCATGACATAGGTCTACGCGATTGCATGGAGGGTGTGTGTTAAAGAAAGTGTCAGGAAAAGGCGGGGAAGACAAGCAGTTTACATCAGCCTTGTTGAGTATTTTGGTTTATATGGATTAAAACAAGAGACTGTAGGATAATCCATATCTCAAATGAAGAATCTGGGTGAGTGAATATCCATGACGAAGACTAGAAAGATACTTCAAGAAGAGAAATGAGAGCACATGGGTTCAGATCGGACACAGAGAAAAAGGAAGAGCTGAGGTTCTTCAAATGAAATAATACAAAATGTTATTCCTCTGACAGAAAAAGAGATATTCAACCTTGTATGGGTATCATGATCAGTGTACAACTTCAGCCATATTCAAATGAGATGAAAAGAAATAAAATAGAACATATGCTGAAGTGGGTGTTTAAGGCTGAAGAAAAATTGTTACGAACGTTAAGTTGACATTTAAAGGTGTCCTACAGGGTGATCTCTTTGAAGGGAGTAAGTGAAAGCATACAGAGATGGAGTAGTCAAAACAGAAGTTAGAAGAAAACTAAAAAAAAGAAACAGAAGGGAGAGTTCTACAAACTTATCTTTAATTAATTTAACAGCCTGAGGAATAGTCAATTAGGAAAATTCACACTTCTAACATTCATACCGGCTAATAGCATTGCTAGTTCTTCATCAATCATTTTTTTGAGAATGATTAGGCTAAGAAAAGCTGAGCTACAAAGAACAGTAAAATGAAAAAGAAAAGAACTGTAGATATCAATGGAAAAGAGATGAGCAGAACTCACACACAGAGAGAGAATGAAGATGGTGACACTGCAGAGAAATGGAAGGAAAAGAGAGTGAGTGCACCAGAGAAGGGGTAGAAACGAAAGATGCAACATATTGGTCACTGGAGTCATGATGGCAAGAGAGTAGCTAGAGAAGGAAGTGAGTCCTCGATTTACTTAGGAGGAAGCCAAGGAGAAGAGGAAGTGAGCAGGAGTGGAGAGAATCAGCTGTAGATCAATAAGGTAAGAAACTAAAAAATAACACAAAACAAAAGAAAACAAATAAACAAACAAAAAAAACTGTCATGGGCACAACAGTTGAAAAGGGGAAGGAAAGCATGACAGAAAATCTGAAGGATGGAACAAGGGAAATAGAAAAATGACACAAAGTAAATCTGCAAAGTCAGAGAGATTGAGAAAACATCAGTCGTCATTTGGTGAGAAACAGGAAGACTATACTCATTGAAAGAAACATTTTTCGTGCTTTTTCTCACTCGACGCACTATCTTGCGATAAAGTTAATATTACTATCTCCATTTGATAACTAAGTCATAAGTGGGAATTACTTAACAAAGGTGAACTGAGTAGATGACAGGACAGGAATTTGGTTTGCCTGTAGGCCTCTTCTAACCTGTGTGCCTATTACTTCCCTCTTTTGAAGGGAAGAAGAGAAGGAGGTAGAAGATAGAGTAATTACAAAAGTAAATAATATTCAGGTAATTCAGAAGTAGAAAATTGTGGCAATAAAAGAAATTGGTTCAGAGAAGGGAAATGAAGGACAAAGAGTGATAGGAAGATAAAGACTAGTTATTAGAAGATAAATGTTTGAACAGTCTGATGGTTGCCAGATGGGAGGGGGTTTCGGGGCTGTGGGTAGGGGTGAAGGGATTAAGAAGTACAAATTGGCAGTTACTAAGTAGTCATGGGGAAGTAAAGTACAGCGTAGAGAATATATAATGAGTAACCTTGTAATAATTCTGTTCGGTGTCAGCTGAGTACTGGACTTATTGAGGAGATCACTTCTTAAGTTATGTAAATGTCTAACCACTATGTTGTACACCCAAAGCTAACATAATATTGAGTATCAAGTGTAATTGGAAAATAAAAATAATTAAAAGATAAATGTTTGTGCATCTTTGCAAAATAAAAGCACCTAATTAAGTGACAATGAATAACCAGTTTCAAAATGTGCCTAATAAATAATCTGTGCATCTCCTCTCTTCTAGGCAGATTAGCTGATCCCACCAAGAGGACAGACTGTGGCTATGAATCTGGAGATCGTTTGTGCATCTCTGTGGACAGTTGGTGGGCTGGTAGGTTCATTTAAATAGCAAAATAGAGAACAGCCTTCCCCCAAAAGCATATTCAACATAAAATTCTAGGGACAGAGACAAAACAAGAACAGTACTATTCCTTTGTTAAAAGGAATCTTCTTCATCATGTACTTTGTGACCTTTATGTCACGTTCTAGGATTCAACAGACACAGACAGTGTCAATAATTCCTTTGGACATATTCTGCTTTTCACAGAGGGACTGAAACAAGGAACTGCAATGAGGTGGCCTCTGACAGACCAGCACTTGCAGTTAAGTAGGAGGTCCCATGAGTGACAGGAAAATGAGAGAACAAGAAAATAATACTTTTTCTCATTTTGCTCAGAGCAAGCGTGTTTAGCTTTGAAACAGAGAAATCATCTACCAAAAATTATTTTATCCACCAGAAATTTACAGCCAAGGTCACAAATTGAATACGAAGATAATCAGAAGTTATTTACTAATTCTTTGATTTTATTTTGTATTTTAGTAATGACATTATTTTACACATGATTTCTTACAGATCATTCTCAATAATTAGAAACAAGATCACAATAATGCTTACTTTCTCGGAGTGACACACATCGTATAAACCTTTACATAATTTTTCTAAAATGACATTGGTTGGTTCTTCTCAAAGACCCCCATAGAGTCATGGTCACAGGTCTAGAATCAAGTTTCCATTTTTTGCCTCCCAAATCAATACATGGCTTTTATTACATCTTTAGAATATCACAAATAAATCATCCGGCATCTTGCTGTTGCTGTATTTGGAAAACTTAGCCCTTATTCATCAACGTGCTGAAATGTTTTTTGTTTTTTTTCTCAGAAACATCCAAAATGTTTCTGATATCCTTGTTTCTAACTGTTGTGGCTTGCTGAATAAAGCAGCTGAATTTGATACAAGGTCAAGGTCGTTTCAAAATTAACTCATCTTTCTGTGCTTGAAATACTGAACGAGGCATGTCGGACCTCGTCTGAACCCTGCAAAAGTATTTTTTCGCCCAAGAAGTTTCTGATTTCAACCAGAGAACCATTCTTCTGAATGATGACGTTCATAGGGGAAATGAACATACAGACTTCACGTTGTAAGGGAAGTCCAGTGTAACACCCTTGATCATGTTCTGTGCATGACCATAGCCAATTCCCTTCTATTTCTGCACCATTTGTCAGCCCAGAGCCCCTTTATTCTTTCCAACGAGACTGAGTTCTACACGAATGTGATTGAAGTTCCTGTGCAGGCTGCCTCCGGAGCCCTTCACCATAACTGTGTGACCTCAGAGTGTTGTCAACATTTTTTGGAAAGTCGATAGTATGATTGAGAATGGTCTTCATTGTCTCAGTAGATATGACAAAAATAGCTAGAATAAAGTTTCTTTATTCTCAGATTGACTTAGCGATTTGGAGTATTAGCTTCCTATACCAGGTGTGGGACTGCTTTCATAAATATATGTGTATGATGAAAGGTTTTCTGCATCACCAGTTGGAATCAGTACAAACTTTAAGCCAACTCTATTATAATGTCTACATCTAATGGAATAGGTTATATGTAGAGAAAAAATACTAAATTAATTGACCATGAATTAAAATCTATTGTCAACATTTACCCAACATTTTTACTTTCAAGACCTAATGTAATCCAAGGACTTTGTAATGTGATGGTTGCACATTGAACTTGACTAAATAAAATACAAAATATCAGTGCTACATCCACATATAAATATTTTAGAAAAAATAACATTTTATGGTAAAACCTCAGTTAAAGGTGTTGTATTTAGTCTGTGCACAAGTAAATACTCATTTTCCTTTTTATACTTAATGCTTTGAAAAATAAATACTACAAATCCATTAAAATTACTATTTGTTTTAAAATATAGTCAACTACTTTAACTTATATTTATTTATCATTATAAGGATATTAACAGATGCACATTAAAGTTATAGATATATAATTCTTATGGAGAATTTCAATTTTTTTGCAGCGACTGTTTTAATATTTTTCTGGATCTATGAGTTTTTGCATAATGATTTGCAGATTACTTAAAAATATTCTCGATCACATTTGTTAGTACTTGTGGTGGTCATTGTAGGTATTTTTCTTTTACAGACCTAAATTACTTTCTCTGTGCGTTGCCCTTCCTTGCTGCAGTTGATTCTGGCATAATGGGGATATCATCAGACCAAGTCACACTTTTGCTACCACCCAAGGATCAGACAAAGTTTTGCTCCAGTGTTTCTACTTGTCAGTTAGCCTTCCCTAAGATAATGAAAAAGTGGAATGCCTTCTACCAGGTTTCTTTTTTATATTTGTAATTTATTCTCTTAGAAAGTGGTTAGATAATTTCTGTTTTTGTACACTTTGGGTTAGGTGTTTTTGTGTATTATACAATATTTTCCTAAGTATTACAATGTACATTTTTATGTAAGTTATATTAATGTTACTGCAATGAAGCAAAACATTACATCATTGACATCCTCTGAACCAATATAGCATTAACACAAAATCTATCCACTCATCTCACCCTAAAAAAACTGTATGTAAATGTGAGGGCACCCAGCATATCTCACTGAATGAGATTATTCTGGTTAATAGAAACTTTAGGTCAACCATGGGATAAGTCTTGAGAGAAATAGAATTATAGAATGTTTTTTAAAATAGTCAATTAACTTATTTAAACTGCCTTAATAATTGATCATATGTTTGTGGAACAAACAATTATGGGTAATCAAAATAAAATATTCAATGACCAATATAAAACACCTTGGTTATGCATAGACATGGACCAAGGTCAATGTTGAAAACATGGATTTTCTAGTTATATAGTTTTAGTTCAATATTTTAGATAAGTTTAAATGAAATATTCTAATAATATTTCCTTTTCTTAGCCATAAACTTTTATGATAATTTTAACTATGATAGCAGAGAAGAAAATGATAAATAAAAAATAAAATATTGCCCTGGCTGGTTTGGCTCAGTGGTAGAGTATCAGCCTGTGGACCAATGGTTCACAGGTTCAGTTCTGGTTAAGGGCAAGCATCTCACTTGCGGTTCATGCCTGGTCCTGGTTGGGGGTTGTGCGGGAGGCAACCAGTCTATGTGTCACTCCCACATTGATGTTTCTCTCTCTCTCCTGTTCTCTCCTTCCCACTATATCTGAAGATAAACAGAAAAATATCCTCGAGCGAGGATTAAAATAGAAAGAAAGAAAGAAAAAAAGGAAGGAAGGAAGGAAGGAAGGAAGGAAGGAAGGAAGGAAGGAAGGAAGGAAGGAAGGAAGAAAGAAAGAAAGAAAGAAAGAAAGAAAGAAAGAAAGAAAGAAAGAAAGAAAGAAAGAAAGAAAGAAAGAAAGAAAGAATTGATGGTTAGGAAATTATTTGCAGTTCATTTCTTATAGATGCATTCAATATTACTACTAACAATAGATAATTATTATAGTCTTTCCAGACTGTTAGTCACTGATGACTTACATACATTAATTCTTAGAAACAAAATTCTCCTTTTGTGTAGAATATTGCTAAATTGTAAATTTGAACAAAATTAAATTGTAGGGAGATAAATTATTATATTTTCTCAAGCATTAATTAATTTATCCTTTTTACTATAGAAATTGAAGTTACCTTCTAGTAGCTTTGAAGACTTGTTAAAGTACTTATGGGATGCACATACCGTAACCTTGGAAGGCACTCAGAAATCATTTGAAAAAAGGTAAGAATGAATCCCAAATCATTTTTATTTAATGTGGCAAATAATTTTGGGGCTTATTTATGCTTTTATATTCTTATTCTAACATGACTGTCAATCTTCCTATTAAATAATATCTAATAATTAGGGTATTGAATGATTTGGTATAAACATTTTAGTATAATCAGGCTCAAGAGTGTTTTATGAAAAAAGGCACAAATCTAAGAAGAAAAATCTCATACCAACCAACCAACAAATAAAACTTGCAACAATTTCTCTCTATTAAAAACAAGATACTTTATTTATTATTTTGTTCCCAGACACATAATATGATACATACATACTTAGGGGAAAAAATCAATCAGTGTCAAGGTTAGCACACAAAATAACCTATAAGATTAGCAAGCCACTCTGCATGTAAACCCTGAGGTATTATATACCTAGGTGTTAAGGTGTAAGCATAATTCATGTTTAGATGTGACTGACACCGTTAGGATTTTTTCAGAGTAACGGACTCAGGAGAGAGAGAGGAGAGAGAGAGAGAGAGGATAAAGGATTAACTCCTATGATTACGGAGGCTGGCAAGTTGATAATCTGTAAAGCCAGTTTGCAGCTCTAGTTCAAAGGCTGGCAGCTGCTGTAGAACTAGGAAGAACCTGTGTTCCAGTCTGAAGGTCATCATCTCAGAGAATTTCCTCTTGCTCAAGGGTAGATTAGCTTTTTCTTCTATTCAGACAGTCAACTGATTGAATGTGGCCCATTGACATTATAGAAAGCAATCTGCTATTCTCATTCTACTGATTTAAATACTGATCTCTTCCAAAAATACTCTCACAGAAACACTCAAAATATGTTTGGCCATATTGCTGGGCATTCTTTTTCTCAGTCAATTTGGCTCATAAAATCAACCATTGTAGGCACTATGTAGGGTGGAGTCAACCACCAAGAGTGAGGTATGGAGTAGAAATCTGAGTATGGTTAAAAAAAAGAAGAAGAAAAGAAGAAGAAGAAGAAGAAGAAGAAGAAGAAGAAGAAGAAGAAGAAGAAGAAGAAGAGGAAGAGGAAGAGGAAGAGGAAGAGGAAGAGGAAGAAGAAGAAGAAGAAGAAGAAGAAGAAGAAGAAGAAGAAGAAGAAGAAGAAGAAGAAGAAGAAGAAGAAAACAAATACCATGGCTCATTGGTGTTGTATAAGCAAATTTGTAAATCTAAGCAGGAATGTTTGAGTACCTCATATTCCATTGGTTGTTGTCTCTCTCATTGACTTCATCATCCAGTAAGGCCAATAAATTAGCAAATCCATTGCATATTATTTCCCCCTCTACCTATTGCTTTGGCTTCTAGTAGGTATTAAATCGGGAAGCAAAGGAGTTTTATCTCTTGGCAGTGCCAGTGATGTGACTTGGGGCTGCACCATCACAACAGTTATAACTCAACTGCTCTTTCTATTCTGATGACGAAAAATGGGTATGAGATTATCAGATAAGGATTTCATGTTGGCAGTTGTTAATCTCAAGATTTGACTGATTGCAAGTCATATTTTAGTTTCCTTTTTATTTACAGATTTTTCACGTTTATATACAAAGGTACATTACTGGAGAATGCAGCCTTGTGTATAGGAAATACGAGTACTGCAGTTAAAATTGTTTGGTGTTATTGGCTGATATTTTTAAAAGCACTTTCTTCACTAATTATAGCAAAATATTACTTTTTTTTTTTTTAAATAATTTTATTTCCTAAAATTCTATCTTTCTTACTTGACTTTTCATTTAGGTGTCAACAAATGACCCTCCTAAGTGAATTTTTAAAATAGTTATCATTTCTTAAGTGAAAAAATTTTACCAAGTATTTTCATGTAGTATCTTCCTTCAAAATAACTTATTTTTGTAGATCATTAATATGCAACTGAGCTTTTAGTAACTTGCTTAAAAGTCTTAAAGTTAGTAAATGGCAGGACTGGTAATTAAATTCCCCATGATTCTATAACACATTCTCTTACCCTGTGTGCTGCACTGCCTTCAATATGTGTGGCCTCCAAACTCGCCTTCAGAGGTCAATACCTACCAAGGTTCTTCTTCCTTTCCTAAAATATATTAAAAGCTATTAAACAATAAAAATATGCCTCCAGCTTTTCAATGTACAGTCATACGTTGTTTAATGACAGAAATATGTTCTGAAAAATACATCATTAGGCATTTTCATCATTGTATGAACATCATGAAGTGTACTTACACAGCATTCGCTGGTATAACCTATTGCTTCTAGGCTACAAACTTGTACAGCATATAACTGTACTGAATACTGGAGGCAATTGTAACACAATGGTAAGCATTTGTATACCTAAATATATCTAAATCACATGAGATTAAATCAAAACAAGAGAAAAGTATTAAATCAAGAAATTTACTAATCATGAGGTGTATGAGGCTGCTTCTTGCATAACGTCGAATACTGTTTTACAGAAAATTGTTTTTCTAGATCCAGTTTTTATTTTTTTATTATATTATTTGTTGATTACAGTTTGCATTTGACATTTTATATTAGTATTAGGTATACAGGACAGTGGATAGACTTCTATGTAGGTTACAAAGTGTTCTCCTTGATATTTAAAGTGCCCACCTGGCACTATAGATCGTTATTACAATATTTTGGCTATATTTCCTGTGCTTTACCTTACATCCCCAAGACTATTTTGTAACTATCAATTAATAATCTTTAATTCCATTATGTGTTGTTTTTTTTTATCTCAGTCCCAAACCCCTCTCCTCTGTTACCCATCATTCTGTTCTTTTTATTGATAATTCTGTTTCTATTATGTCCATTTATTTTGTTCTTTAGATTCCACATATAAGTGACATCATATAATACTTGTCTTTCTCTGTCTGGCTTATTTTCTCTGAAGAAAAAGCCTTTGTATTTAGAAAACTGGACAAGAAAATTTTATATCTATTTCTCTAGGATGCTCAATATTTTGGGGCCTCCTGACTTCAGGAAAGCAATAGTTACAAAGGATGCCTGAGTGTAGTAGAAATGCTGCCTTGGAAACTGATTTTTATCTGTACATTTCTAAAGAGTATTATTTAGTCATAGTCTAATATCTGGCTATTATATAATATGCAAATATAAGGTTTCTTGTTAAATGTGGTAAGATTCAAAATAAAATACAAACTTCTGATTAGATGGTCCCTTACAAATTAAATTTTTTAATTACTAATATTTGTATTTCAAAGGTAGGAGCTCATGCCATCACATTCTAAAACTAAGAACCACATTCTTAGTTTGTTGGCAGAAGTTGACTTTTTTTTTCTAGAAAACACTGAGGCTGAAATTCTGAGTGGGCTAATAATGATTATACATGTGTCCACTTGTCTTTTAGGTTTGAATATTATTCTAAACCAGAAGTAGATTTCGGAAAAAGTTGGAGTGCAACTGTGAAATATCTAGCTGCATCCCTGTTTCCTACAACCCTGGTTAGAATCCATGAATTCCAGAAGGGTCTACCACCTCGACTGCTGGTGGATGGGGATAAAGCCCCCTTCATCAGCGACTTTACAAAACTTCAGAATGAAGTCCTTCTTGGTCTCAATCTTATTCGTGATGTGGATAATGCTATAGGTAAGGACCTTACAAAAATACCTTAAAGAAAATCAATATTACATTAAAATCTAAAGGAAAAAATAATGATTGTATCAGAGATATATTTATATATAACACATATGTTCCAAGAAAGTCTTGATTTTCTATGAGTATCCATTTTATACATTTTAATCCTTCCACTCATGGTCTGTCCTTTCTCACGGATCCTTATGACCATGAAGCCACCAGACCATCTCAAGTGCCTTTTTATTCATCCCTATATAGAGTTGTTATAATATCCTGTGTTTATTTCCCTATACATGGCTCCTAAAAGTAGAAAAAATAAAGGAAACTAATTGCTATATCTTTTACTGATTCTTAAAAGTATATTTAATATATTCACACTTTAAAAGTCTAAGTGTATAAACACATGAAATGAAAATAAAAATCTTAGCCATCCCCCCTCAATCACATATTTTAGCCCTTCACTTATTTTTTTAAAAAGTCAGTTTATGATGCAAATTTCTAGAATTTTTTAAATACATAAAACAGTGCAAATAAATGAATAAAAAAAACCTGTACTGTTTGTACAAATAAAATCATACTCACTGCTCTACACTATATTTTAACAGAAAATGTTTCTTCGAGTGCTTCCCATATCAGGATGTAGTAATCCAACTCTTTTATTTAAATTATGTTTTGTTTTATTTAATGAATGTATTATAACTACAAAGATTATGTATATTATAAGCTATTGGCAATAAAACAACAATAACATTTTACACATACTTTTTTGGCATAGTTTATTATTTCACCAATAAATTTGTAGAAAGGAAATGAATTAAAACTGGTAGATCATATATTGCCAAATAATAGTAAAAAAAGTTTTCAAGACTTTTACATTTTTGTCATAAAGCTATGAATTAAGGTTCCTAGTTTTCTCTAATCCATTATTATATAACAATTTCCATAATTTGTGTTTGTTATGTAGAAAATGTTTCTTCACTGTTAAATTAATTTACAATCTTTAAACATATTTGTATACTTTACCCAGTTTTCTGGGGAGTTAGTTAATTTTTCTTACTGATTTTTTTTTTTATCCTCACCGGAGGAAATTTTTCCATTTTTTGTTCAGGTAGAGTGGGAGGGAGAGAGAGGAACAGAGAGAGACAGAGAAACATCGATGTGAAAGGAACACATCGAGTGGCTGCCACCCGCACAACCGACCAGGGCCGGGGACAAACTGCAACCGAGGTACGCGCCCTTAGCGGGAATCGAACCCCGGTCTCTCAGGACCGCAGGCCGACTCTCTAACCGCTGAACCAAACCGGCCAGGGCTCTTACTGATTTTTATATGAAGAGGAGGTTAATTAATTTTGAATTTTAAAACTTATGTGTACAATTATCATGTAATGAACATATAATATTTGTATGCAAAATACATAGAACTTTATTTTATTTATTTTTTAATTAATTTATTTTTGTTACAGATGTTTCTCCTTTTCCCCCCCACTGATTCCCCCCCCTCCCTCCCTCCTTGCCCTGTCCCCAGTTTGTTGTCCGTGTCCACTGTTCATGCATACATGCATATAAGTTCTGTGGTTTATCTCTCCCCCGCCACCCCCTCTTCTGGGGATTGTCAGTCTGTACCTCACTTCCATGTCCCTGGGACTACCCCATTCCTCAGACTGTTATGTTCATTATATTCCACAAATAAGTGAGATCATATGATACTTGTCTTTCTCTGTTTGGTTTGTTTCGCTTAGGATAATACTTTCCAGGTCCCTCCATGTAGTCTCAAAGGATAAGAGATCTTTCTTTCTTACAGATGCATAGTACTCCATTGTATATATGTACCACAGCTTGTTTATCCATTCATCTACTGTTTGGGCTGTTTCCAGATCTTAGCTATTGTAAATAGTGCTGCTATAAACATGGGGGTACATATATTCTTTCTGATTGGTGTTTCAGGCTTCTTAGGGTATATTCCTAGAAGTGGGATCACTGGGTCAAATGGAAGCATAGAACTTTATTTTAAGAAATATTTCAACAATTGGGCTCAAACTTACATCTAAAAATTTTATTCCAGGGTCGTTCTCTTTGACTGCATGGAAAATTTTAATGAAGACAGAAGGTGCAAGAAAGCTATTCCTAGGGCTTTTAGAGACATTTATTGAAGTCTCTAAACTAACATCTCTGGGACAATGAGTTAACTATTGACATTTCTAATTTGTTGAGCAGAGGCAACTTCATAATTTAACATAATCATAACCATATAGTTTTCTTATTTCTGTAGTTTTTTATTTATGCTCATTTATTAGGATTCTGTTCATGCATTCCTAGTTTTAAATTCAAATTAATGTTATGATTATTTTATTCAATTAATAATTCTTGAGTTTTAAGTTTATTAATATGTAATGTTTAGCATCTAAAGAAGATTGTATTAGCTATTATAAATCACTGAGAAATATAATAAATAGATATTAAACTTGCATGGCTCTTTTGTTTTTATCCTGTGTAATTTAATTTCATGAAATTACAGCCATATCTTGCTGATTTATAACCAAAAACCAGAACATTAGAAAAAATACTGTGTATTAAAATTTTTAAATTCATAAAATTGAACACGCAAGTAGAATACCTGAGTGGTCAGTTTTGTGTGTGCGTTTTCACTGATCACAAATTTATAGCAATTGTGTACTAAGTGTCCTCTCCTTGGTCCACATGTCATGATGTGTTAAGGGTCAAGTTTGTCAAGGTAGCTCTCTTTTAGGGGAGAAATGTACTGGCCAGAAGTGGTTTCTTCCAAAGCTGACTGGAAGCTTTCATATGAAGGTTTACCAGAATCTTATCACAGACCAATTCTACCCACTAACTGTTGAAAATTAAATAAATTGGTTTGAATAATATGGGCACTGGAATAGGAAAGATTGTTTAAATCTCAGCTCTACTTCTTTCCAATGTAAACTTGGACAATTTTTATAGTCCCCTCCATGCCTCAACTTAGTTATTGTTAAAATGGAGATTATAAAATCCAGTTGCATAATTATTTTGAGAAGTAATGAAAACATGCATATCAAGTGACTAGGACTCTTCCCGATGAACAGGATGCACTTACAAGAGGTAGCAGTTGTTACAATAGTTGTGCTGAGAGATGGAGGACACGTGTTGTATGGTAAGGCAGTAAAATCATCTTTGATGAGCCAATACTATGAATATGTTTCTATTGAATCCAAAAACATATGGAAGATTTTCTGTTAGTTGTATATAACAGAGGCAGTGGGATAAACAGCCTCCCAAAATAATGTGAGATAACTACATATCTATGGTATATCTATACAAAACCAAATCCTCCAAATACTTGAAGACAGATGGTGTGAAAAAGGCAAACCTGCTCTCAGTAAAATGAGAAATATCACCATATATATGTTTTGACCCCATTCTGGTTCTTATAGCTGGACGGGTAAAAAAATAATGACATAGACAAAAAACTAGATTGACAGGGAAAAAAAATGTCCATTTAATGTGTGTACTCAGGAGAATCACAATGTGATACTATACTCAGATCATAAAATAAGGCTCAAAGAAATGATCAAACTAGGTACACTTTTCATACTTTTTAGACAAAGAATCAATAAATTTGTGAGAAATTGACAGGACAGAGAAAGTTAGTTCTCATCTGAAGGTACCTGAGAAAGGTTTGGGTTTAGGTAGTAAGTTAGTGAAAGTGTCACAGGTTTATTTGTGCAGGCTTTACAACTCTGGAATAATATTCAAGTATGTGAAACATTCCTCTCCTGATTCTTAGGTTTTGTCTCATTTGGAAGTATTTTAATCTACTTCCAAGACTCTCTCCCTTTAAATCAACAAAATCTCTGACGATGTTCGCCCATGATGTTAACCTAAGGATTCTATGTTGCTGAGTTCTCTGTCTTCTACTGTGAACCTTCCCTGTGCTTCAGGTCCACTTTTATCAAATCCCCACCAATCTCCATCTACATGTTAAAATAATCTCCAGTTGAGCATGTCTCAGACTGAGTTCCTGATCTTTATGGTCAAGGAAGATTGCTTCATGAACTTTTTTGTCAGAAAAAAGTTTTACTACTCTTGTAGATATTTTTTTTGCACCGCCCCTCCCCCTTCTTTAGAGACAAAATGTGATTGCCTCTGGTCATTATATTCTCTGAGAAATGTTTTTATTGTTTTTCCATGGCAAGAGCTACATTATTCTCAATAGCCTTGACCAAAAACTGTTTTTTAATACCCATTCTTTTCAAGAATAAAATTAATGCTATATTTGTTATTATTCAAGCCCAAATTTCTACCATGAACTTAGTCTATTTTCCAATGATATTATTTTCCTACCATAAGTGATGTATCTCCTGTACTCCCAGCATTTCCTTCTCTCTATCTCTTTTTCTCTCCCATATGCTACTGAAATTCCAAACTCTTTCCTTTAGTTCATTCTATTTCTTTCATCATGAATTACTTTTTATATTTATTTTTTGACTTATATTTATTGTTGAATGTATTAAAAATGTCCCCCTTTATTTCCCCATTGACCCCCTCCTCCCCAATCCCACCTCCCTCCTGCCTTCCCCACACTATTGTCAGTGTCAATTGGTTATGCACATATGCATAGAAGTTTTTGGGTTTCGCTCATCCTGCCTTTCCTCCCTCCTTCCCTTTGAGGTTCATCAGTCTAACAACCAATGTGTACTTCTTAATTCCTTGACCTTTTTCACCCATCCTCCCCAGACCCTGCCCATCTGGCAAGCAACAAAAAGTTCTCTGTATCTGAGTCTGTTTCTGTTCTGCTTGCTCATTTTGTTTGTAGATTCAATTTTTGATAGATATGTATTAATTGCCATTTTATGGTTCATATTTTTGTTCTTCTTCTTCAAGAAGACCCTTTAACATTTTATATAATACTGGTTTGGTGGTGATGAACTCCTTTAGCTTCTTCTTGCCTAGGAAACTCTTGATATGTCCATCAATACTAAATGATAGTTTACAGGATAGAGTAATCTTGGTTGTAGGTCGTTTCTTTTCATCACTTTGAATATCTCTTGCACTCCTTTCTGGCCTGCAAAGTTTATTTTGAGAAATCAGCTGACAGTCTTATGGGAGCTCCTTTGTAGGTAACAAACTGCTTTTCTCTTGCTGCTTTTAAGGTTCTCTCTTTGTCTTTAACCTTTGGCATTTTGATGATGATGTGTCTTGGTGTGGACCTCTTTGAGTTCATCTTGTTTGGGACTCTCTGTGCTTCCTGGATTTGTATGTCTGTTTCCTTCACCAAGTTAGGGAAGTTTTCTTTCATTATTGTTTCAAATAAGTTTTTAATTTCTTGCTCACTCTCTTCTCCTTCTGGTACCCCTATGATGCAAATGTTGGCATGCTTAAAGTTGTTCCAAAGACTCCTTACACTATTCTCATTTTTTTAAATTCTTTTTTCTTTTTGCTATTCTAATTAGGTGTTTTTTGCTCTGTTATATTCCAAATTGATGGTTTGCTTCTTGGTGTTACCTACTCCACTATTGATTCCCTGTAAATTAATCTTTATTTCAGTTAGTGTATCTTTCGTTTCTGAATGGTCTTTTTTCATGTTGTTGGTGTTCTCACTAAGTTCCTTGGAGGTCTCCTTAAGATCCTTGAAGGTCTCACCAAGTTCCTTGAGCAATCATATAACCAGTGTTTTAAACTCTACATCTGATTGATTGCTTATCTTCATTTTGTTTAATTCTTTTCCTGGAGTTTTGTTCTTTTCTTTCATTTGGGACATGTTTCTTTGTCTCCTCATTTTGGCTGCCTCCCTGTGTTTGTTTTTATGTATTAGGTAGAGTTTCTATTTCTTTTTATTTATTTATTTATTTATTTTTTTTAATCCTCACCCGAGGACATTTTTCCATTTTTTGTTCAGATAGAGTGGGAGGGAGAGAGAGAGAGAGAAACATCGACGTGAAAGGGACACATTGAGTGGTTGCCACCCGCACGACCCAACCAGGGCCGGGGACAAACTGCAACCAAGTTACATGCCCTTAGCGGGAACTGAACCCGGGTCTCTCCGGACCGCAGGCTAACGCTCTAACTGCTGAGCCAAACTGGCCAGGGCTAGAGTTTCTATTTCTTCTAGGCTTCGTAGGGTGGCCTATTGTTGTAAGTGTCCTGTAGGATCCAGTGGCACAGCCTCCCTGATCACTCAAGCTGGGCCTCAAAGTGCTCCCCTAGGGTGAACTGTACATCCTTCCTTTGTAATTGAGTCTTGATTGCATTGGCACATCAATGGGAGGGATTTATTTTTATTGAGGCTGATCTGTTGCATGAACTAGCTGTGCCCCCTGACCACGGGCCTCCCATTACCTTGGAGGATCAGCTGTTTAGGGCTTCACCACACAGAGCAAGGCTTACTTCATCAGGGCTCTGGTACCCACTGAGTCCATTCATTGAGTGTGTCACTTATGAAGGTTGTTGAGTGGTAGTGTTTCGATGTGGTCTAAAGCTGTCCACTGAGTGTGCTGCCTCTGGGGCAAAGTCAGCCATTGCCTGTGCTCTATCAAGGGTCACCCAGCACAAGCTACAAAGTGAACTGCAAATGGCTGCTTCTTGTGCTGGGCTTGGAAGTGTCTAGGAAAAGCCAAATAGTGCCCAGTAAAAGCCAAGGTTAACTGTTTCTTAATGCCAGCCCTGGGGCCACTCAATAAGAGGTATGGGATTCGCTAAGACCAAATGCCGCTTGTTTGAGAGATTTTAGGAAACTCTGATGCAGGATCCATGACAGGCCAAACCTATGGTAAAGCCTTTGGAAATAGCTTGGGTGGGCCCAAAATTTGAGTGGGGCAGGGCCTCAGGTAATCACCAGGGTGGGGCAAACAGTGTGAGTCAGGTTACTGGAGTCCAAGATATGGCAGCAGTCTGTCTCCTTAGGGAAGAGCTCACCAAAAGAATATCAGCCTCTGCCAGCATATCTGTCTAACAGAAAGCCGTCTCTAGCCCTCTACCCAAGGCCAAACAGCTCAGTTCTTTCCTGTATGGTTCTGGCGCCCCTATAGCTGCCTCCCCTTTGAGCTTAGAGGTAGCAAGTCTGAGTAAGTCCATGGAAAGACCCTTTAAGAAGAGTTGTCTGATCAATACAATCATAGCAGGGAACTTCAACACCCCACTGACATCACTGGATAGATCCTCTAGACAAAAAATTAGCAAGGAAACAG